TGGACGCTGTCGCTTTGAATAAGCTGGTGGCGGTCACGGAGGGTGTGATGCTGGTCGGGGTGGACGTTGAAGCCATGGATGAAGAGGCATTCGAGGCTGCGGTGACGTCGCGATCATTGCTGCAGTATATGAAGCGGTCGTGAAGGTGGACGAAGGCGATGCTATCGCACATCGACGATGGCCAGTCCAAAACCAATTGTTTTCTGTTTGACAACGTGTTTGCCTGCGACAGATAATGTTGTCTTTTCCGAGTCGAAAGCATTGTTGTTTGAACGCGACCCATTGTGTCCGCTTATTTAATTTTTAAGGAAGTGGCGTGTGAACGTTCTGAAGGATTTGGTGTTCTTGATCAATCGTTTCCATCGACTGAGATGTTTGATGCTTGTCTTTTTTAAATAGAAAGTGAGTAGCGTTACGCCGAAGCCTGTGCGGCAGCTCACTTTTTGGCAGAAACGTGCTGATGGATGCCTTACATTGTACGAGTACCGCTGAAAGTCCATCTCAGATTTTTATCTGCACGCTTCAAACTACTTGCGCGACTCACAACGCCGTAATGCGCTTTTCACGTGTCACCAAAAATGCAGTTCCGGTGCATTACAGCACCAGTGCGGCACATCCAGGCTCGCTTTCAGCACAACGCCAGCGATAAGCCGTCGCCGTACTGCGCCTTTGGCGCAGTACACTGTACATTACACCAGCATTGGTCACCGAGCCGGTGGCGCGTAAAACACTGCCTCACACGGCACGCCACTAAAAGGGTGTCACCTTACCGTTCCGCTTGCGCGGCACATGCTGCGTCACATACAGCACAACGCCAGCGATAGGCCGTATCCTTCGCCAGATAATCCCAATGACTTCCCCTAACTATCCAAATCAGTGCGTAACTATCAAAGCGTAATCATCCAAATCAAACCTGGGTAATGAAAAACGACAAAATGGGAATGTTGGGAAACTTGGATTCTACGGAGTAATCAGACAAAGAGGCATCACATAGCAGCTGTCCGCCAATTGAGTAGGTGGCCTCACCACCGCTTATGACGCAATTCATGAGCTACAGCAGGAGTAAGCCTTAATTGCTTTCGAACAGGCGGAACCCTTCCTAGAATCCTTTGCCTGCCTGCATTTCGTAATCTGTGAACTGTTGAGACGTTCACACACGTTCATGCACATCGCCGAAGTAATAATTTCTTCATTACAACCAGACGACCACATTCTTGCGCTCTCACTACTGTAGTATCTCAACAACAGAATCGTCCTTACCGAAGAGGGCTCTTAAGCCAACGATGCCGGCCACGTTCTTTCCCGGTAGTAGATAGAAACTTCATTTCCGGAGTAGTTAGATCACGCACAAGCTTGCTCGATTATCTCGCACCAGTTAGCGACAGTCACAGGCCGATCATGACTGATATGGAGGAATGGCACGTGGATGGTGATTGGGACACAGCCGTCCGCACATGACTGCTGAATTTTCCATTTAAAATTCTCCAAAATCAGCGCACCCACCCACTTAGACAGCGAACAAAACCTAATGTGCAGCTGAAGTCTTTTAATGTGACATTTACTGCGCCTGGGATAGGTCGGCAAATGAACGGAAGTTGGACGTACAGGAAATTTCCAACGACAGCCGATTTGAAGTTGCCGTTCCAGCCGGCGCATACTTCCCACGAACAACATTGGTCGACGATGTGCAGATGCCGAAACGTTTCCCGTAGGATCTTTTCCGACAGCCCACCGATGGGATAAAAAGCTTTACGGCCCATCCATTTCCAATCGAACATCGGCAGAAAGGAAGGTGCGATTTTATTGCCCAAGGCCATCTTCTTTTTCTCTACAGACGTTCCTGCCGGCTACACACGTACAGTCTTGGACATTCTGTATTAAAAAAAACCTGACTTCGTCTTGCAATGTATTCAGCGAGAAGCTCCTTTGCATCCTCCCTTTACCCATGTGTGGGCTCTTGGAAGTGTGAAGATGGTATTTGAAGCTTCTTACTATCGCCGAAAATCAGAATGTTGTGCTCGCGACGTGTGTGTGATGCTGGAAACGAGAATTCCCAGAGAATGGAAGCCATTTTCGGCAAGCATTGTTTGAGCACTGGATGCGCCACGGAGCAAATAGTGCTACTCCTTATTGCATGGTTCTGTCAGGCCGGAAGCGCAACATTCTCTAAAATACTAAATAAACAATAAGGTTGACCGGGTACGTGTTTTGCTTTAGCGGTCCGAATCGTTTCCGTCAACAAGACTGATAAGCTCTAGTAATAACGTTCGGCCAACCGGGAATTGCCAAGCGCAATCCCCCACCCGCAAATTTCAAATTCAGGTCTTCTGAATGTACGTACATGATACATACGGCGCATCAATCACATCCATAAGCTATCTTTTAGCAAATCACTGTAGCCACCCCTTTTTACCAGTGATGGGTTACTGAGTTTTTTGGACCTCTTACTTACTCTTACTGCTGCGATACTTTTCACTTACTTTACTGTTACTTTTTCGCTGCCGCAACCGCTACTTTTACTTACTGTTTACTAATTCGCTATAAAGATTACTTACTCAGTAAGTTAAGTACCAACTGCTAAAATTTATGTTAGAAAGAAAATTTCGCGCGAAGCGCGAAGGTGACGAGCAATTTGCTTAATATTAGGCTACTGTTTACTGAGTAAGTTTCCCTTACTTACTGTCTACTCAGTAACCCATCACTGCTTTTTACCCCTGTATTTTATAGCCCCCCTTTTTTCGTACTGATTAAATAGAAGCACCCTGTTGTTCATTTGTATATACACCCACTTGACTTTAAGTTTTTTATTTTCTTATCAAGGTAAAGATCTATATTACAACGGAAAACCCCGTACGATCTGGTCAGAACAAACCAAAAAATTAATCGAAAAACTGCTAACGCCATTCGATTCAGCATGTCTGGAAACTGTGTCACATGCATTTTGCTTTGGTAATATCTGCTCCGGCTCCCGTGCACAGACGCCGGTGCCGGTAGAGAAGAAAGCTCAAGGTGACCTTGAAAAAAATTTCAAAGTCCTGTTGCATGGAGCAAAAAATCAGTAAATTTAAACCGGTACCCCTTTTAGATCAACAAATCACTTTGGACTTTTAATCCTACAAAACTAGAAAAGCCAATTAGCAGTAGCACAAACGATACTGCAACTGTCTGCAAGTGGATGGCTTAGTTTACAGTTTAAATCGTTTAAATGGATGGCTTCGTTTACATTTGAAGGCAGCTGTAAAAGAAACTGACCATAGTAATCGTTCAAACGGGCAAACCTTTCATTGCAGTCCGAGCAAAACTAAAGACAGTGATTGCACTGATTGATAAATGATAATCAGCATCTTCAGTCCGTAAATTATTTCGTATAATACGGAATAGTACGGTGTCTACTGTACATTCTAGATCTTTATTACCACAAAAAATAAAAAGGGATTCACGAACCCAGCTTTCCCGTATAGAATCAGCAGAAGCCATTTCCATAATCTGAATGCTCATATTCCAAAACCCGGCCAGACGGTTTTAGTTTCACAGAGCCAAGCTGTGACCGAACTGCCACTACTATCCAGAGCACACAGCCCGCTAGGTGAACGAGTGACCGAATAACCACTACTATCCAGAGCACACAGCCCAGCTAGGTAAACGAATGACCGAACAACCACTACTATCCAGAGCACGCAGCCCGCTAGGTAAATGAGTGACCGAACTACCACTACTATCCAGAGCACGCAGCCCGCTAGGTAAACGAGTGACCGTACTACCACTACTATCCAGAGCACGCAGCCCGCTAGGTAAACGAGTGACCGAACTACCACTACTATCCAGAGCACCCAGCCCGCTAGGTAAACGAGTACCGAACTACCGCTGCTGTCCAGAGCACACAGCCCAGCTAGGTAAACGAGTGACCGTTTAGCTAGGTAAACGAGTAGACGTTTAGTGGAAATTTAGTACCTGGTAGACTCGATCAAAGTCGGGAGGGAGAAGTTAACAAAAATTCCCTTCTGAGTGAAAGTGAATGCGTCTGAGTGCACAAAAGCCATAAATTCACTTTTTATTCTATCTGCGTTTTAGCGTATTTTCGGATTATTTTGTTTCGTTGAAGGAATAAGATGTTAACTAAATAGCTGATCGAAATCATTTGAATAAACCGGCCGTAGACTGGAGACCACAAGAAAAGCGGAGGCGAAGCCGAGGCTGTTTCTTGTGTTTCATATTATGATGTATAATTTATATCCGATGGCAAGAATTTTTCGCATTTTTCGGATGACAAAATTTGATGCCTGAAGTCTGTGCTTCGTATCTCTCGAAACCCTCTTCGAACTTTCAAAAGTTTCATATTCGTTAGGCTAGTCACCAGTAGATTCTACTACGGGATAGAGCAATCGCTTCGATTGGGATTAGCGGAGAACAATCGTTTTGGTTCACGGGTGGTGAATGTGACGACTTTACTGCAGCATTAAAGGAAAAATGCAACAAATACAGAGTAGGTCGTGCTGATATTACCACTTTCAATTTTTTTTAAGGTTTTTGAATACCAAGAAGTGTTCTCTGTAGATGATCGATCATGGTAGTAACTGTATCTAACGTATTGACTTAGTTGCTGTAGTGTAGAAAGTGCTGTATGTAATGTATTGGCTTCAAAGTACGCAAAAGCTATCTTACATAATGGGTGGCTATAACGAAGCGAAGTGTCTAGGAACTGTAATTAAGTATTTTAATTAATTAAAAAAGGGAGCCTCTAACTGACGGGGTGCGGAAAAGGGGTGACTGTAAAAACCGGGGTGTTTGGGGGGGGGGCTATGGTGTCACCCTACCTTTTATTACGTCAAGCTTTGCATTCTCTAGCATGATTCTCTGTCTCAGCTTAAAATAAGGCAACACGTAATAAAGTCAATACGCCAGTTGAAAATGTGAGCAAACATTATAATATATATTAGTAAAAGAAATGCAGCGAATCAAATGGATTTCAGCATAGATGCGTTACAATGGAAAATGGGCGTATCCCCGAAACGTGCACACAGTGCCACCAACAGCTAAAACATTCCGGAAACCAAATGGTGAGGCATGCGTGGCTCACCAGCCAGACGGCTGTGAAGTCACTGCTCGTAGGTTGGCGAGGAAGTGGCGGGCGATGCGCGACAGCTTCTCCCACTGCAGCCCTTGCAGGCCGTCCACGCACCACTGCTTCCCGTGGTAGTGTGCCGCGGGACGCGGATCGGCCGCTTGCAGCGCGCACAACATCTGCAAAACAGTCATAGCGCAGCACTTTTGGGTGACATGAAACGACAGATGCCGATGCAATCCGTAAAAACAATCGCACCTTGCAGACCACTTTTGCCAGTTCTTGATCTGCACCCGTACCGCACAGTCTGCAGCCCTTCACTCGGTCCACGAGTTCCTGCAGCTTCTGTGCATCCGGTGCCGGCAGCGTCGCATCCATGACGTCCCACAACGCCCCACTGAAGTCCGGCCCAATGGGCAGTCGCGTTCTAGGGAGTTTGATCGTCACACTGATTAGTTCCACCCGTTGGCGAAAGAAATACGAGCAGACCAAGTGAACGTCGCAGTTAGTCAGGAGGAGCGTTGCACACGGCACACTACCGCAGACGGCGATGAATTCCTGCAGCGGCCGGCAGTCCCACTGTCCCATCGGCTTGGCCGTCGCCAGATGCGGCCGGTGCAGGGCACATTCGGGCGTGCGCGCACTGACGCCCGCGGTGTCCAGCGAAAGGTCAAAATTGAAGCGGTTTAAATGCAGATGGCGCAGTCGGATGCCGGGTCGCTGCAGTGCCATATAGCGCGTTATATCGCACAGCGTCAGTAGATCGTCGATGGCGGCGTTCATCGTCGGCATGTCCATCACGCCGAAATGCGTCATCATAACATGCTGCGTCCCCGGCTGCAGGCGTTTGTAGACCGCGGCCATGGGTAAAAAACGACTGAAGCGCCACTCGGAGCCCGTGTAGAAGTAGGCGCCCAGCGTGATGCGGCCGCTCAGCACGGGCTCCTCGATTATCGTGTTCCACGCTGCGCACACCGCGCGCAGCTGCATCTGTGCCACGGTGTCCAGCTGCGCAAACACCTGCAGCCACAGTTCCATCGAAAGCGCCATCGGATCAGGCGTTACCGGGACCTCATCCGTCAACGGACACTTGCTGATCCACTTCACATAGGAGTTGACGAGGGAAGCCTGATCACAACACTACCCACGTAACCTAACTATTCAATATCCCAGACCGACCCTGGTCCTTACCAAGACACGCCGGTTTTGGAAATCATCCTGATTGGGATCGCCCGGCTGACAAATGTACACCAAACCGCCCTCCACGATCTCCTGCACAGCGACCGTGCAGCGATGGATATCGAGTGCGTGGCGCTTCAGCCCCTTCACGAGCGCCGCTACTTGTCCATTGGACATGCAGCGACATTTCTCGTCCAGCTGTAGAGTCTGCTTGACGAAAGTTCCTGAACCGATGTGATCGTGCAGTGCCCCATCTTCATCCGGCGAAGAACTGCCTTTCCCAACTACTGCCTGACGGCTACGATGCGCCAGCCGACGACGATTGAGCTCCGTCTGCACTGTCCAACGGATCCGTTCGCTGGGGACGAAATCTTTGCACGCTTCTCCGCTGTACGCGCATCGCCACTCCGCCACGGCGCCTCGGCACTCCCCGCGCGCCATCCCGCGCCCGAAACTGACCGCTCGACCAGGGACCCACATCCACGGACCGACCGGGCTTTCCGCCACCAGGACTTCCACGGGAACGCTGGAAAACTCGGTGGAATTGGTACGGGACAGTTCCGCTTCGCTTGTCCCGCTCAGCACGTACAGACGGTCGAACGGGACGAATTCACGGCGTCGGGTGGGACAGAGCAGGTCGACGAAGAGTCCATCTTCGGCCACGTCCACGACGCGTCCGTATCGCATCATCCCGTCGTCGAAGAGAACGTCCACGGCGTTCTCGCGGTGCATTCCGCTCGGCATGCTTAAACGTGTGTCGGGACTCGAAACGGGAAATACACTTGCGCTCATGCGCAATGCACCGCCCGTGCACAGTGAAATGTGCTCCACTAAAATGCCTTCCTCCTAAAACCAGAATGCAGAGCGAAATTTAGGCAGAATTCACTACAAATGAACTTCAGAAAATGCGTCTTGTGAAAAGCAGGATTTCTTTTCGAATTAAATAAGAAACTATCAGACCAGGAAATTATCATGAAATACCAATGCTAATTATCGATTTCATATGGCTAAGGCTATTTTGCCGCAGTTTTCTGCAGTGTGTCAAAATAGCTTTTTGCTATTTTGCCGCACACTGCGTTAAAATAGCCTTTAGCTATTTTGCCGCAGTATGGTAGGCAAAACAGCCATTTGTTTGCCGCATACTGCGTTTAAACAGCCTTGTGCTATTTTGCCGCACTATGGTCGCAGCTACATAATTTGCGACGGTAAACGGTGCGGACCGTACTGCCATCTAGAGCTACATTTTCTCCTGGATTTGACCTATTGCCGTAAGCCGACTTTCAGTTGTCTCGCAGGAATTCGTTAAAAAAAGCACATCCTTGGGAAGGCTCTTTTAAAACTGGGACAGAATATTGCGCACGAATCTAGTCGAGAGCGGACGGATTTCACTGAGTGTACAGCTTAGGACAAAAAGACGCATAATCCCACCCACAGCATGCCGAACTCATGCGGCGCAGTGCGCTGTACGACTCAGCTAAAATATCCGGTTGTCGTACAACTGCACTTGCCACATGCGCACGGATATCTGGGTATGGGGATATGCGTCTTTTTAGTCCTAAGCTGAATATTCGGAAACGGATAGTGGGACTACAATTTGAATTTGATATCAGATAGGCGCCATAAAGACCATTCAACGAAATGTCTGCTCCAGTCAACAAATCACGAAAACGGTCCACCGCCGAATATACGCTTCTTCCGAATTCGGAAAAAAATTGCGTGACAGCCTAAGTGGTTGCGAGACATTTTGTCGTGGGGCATTTCGGCCCAGGTATTTCGTCGCAACAGCAAACTTGTTTTGAGACAACTCGTTTTGCTGCCGTTTTATTGTGTGACATTTGGTCGCGAGACTTTTGCGGAGTAGGAAAATTATAAACTGGTTTATGGCACCGAACAGCCATATGAACATTTGCCGCAAGAACGAGTTGTTCTTAAACGAAATGTCCGTATAAGGATACTCCGACAGAACTTTTCGCCCCAGATTCAGCAGTCCTGCAAAATCGTATGCATACAAAATTCGATGCACCATCGGCCAGTACCTCATGTGGCACGAAACGAACGACATCGGGGCAGGACGCCGGCTGCCGCAGCTCCGTAGTAGAGGCATCATTTTGTTGCGGCATCGATATGTGTGCGTGTGGACGGTTATGATAAAACATTATTTCATTGGAGAAAACATCACCATCGAGTGAGCAAATCAGCTATCCCGTGCCGTAAAATTATACATTACCCTAACCCTTCACTTGACGGAAATTTCTACAGTGCAGCCGCTCACACTTGTACGAGCGCACTCACCATTCACATAAACGGCTTGCAGCTAGTGCATGTTAGAACGTCAATCGGCTGAACGTTTATCCGGCTAAACAGCACCGTATCGTTCAATGCGTACAAATTTTTGTCAAATGCAAAATTAGTGTATAGTAACAAGTCCAGTCTTCTGGTAAAAACTTGATAATGGCAAATGAAGAAGACTAGGCTCCTTTAGCGTGGGGCTTGTATCCGGCCGATCCTATTCGAAAAGCATCCTTGCCCGTGTGCCAAACATGCACGGGTATCCGGCCAACGCATCCGGGGCAACGTTTCCCGCAATCCATGGTTGCCGGTTGCTAAGATGGACACACCCGGTACCATATAACGGCAACCCAGTCTGTTTTACCCGTTCTGACGGCGAGTCGCAAAACGACCCCACCCGGTACCGCGGAACGTTTATCTGGGCACGTTAAGAGCAGCCACAAGCAGGTCGGATGGCCATGCTGATGCCCAACTCAGTGGCCGGGTCGGCTCTGAACCGCTCTCAAGTTTTTGAAGGGTGAAGGAACTGCTCATCAACCGAAGCCAATCCTTTAGGAGCGCCGGAACTCCGGCAATCGCTCGTCGGTTAGCACAACGCTGCCCGCCTGGTATCGCAGAACTCGACTTTAGGTCGGCATGTGCATCGTCGAGCTGGAACAGCTCATCGGCTGTAGTCAGGTCGTATCCGTAGCCGTGGAACTTGGAACCCGGCAGTCTGCTCATTAGCCAGCATCAGTGAGGCAAAACTTACCCGCCAGGTGCCGCTGGCAGGGGATAAAAGGTGGCAGTGGCACCTGCAACTGGCAATTGCCACTGGCAGTGGCAGCTCACTGGCAAGCGATAAAACATGGCAGATGCCACAAATATGAAATTCCTTCTAAAGCGACTCGGGAACATCAATTTTAGCAAGATCTCAACGGCAATATTTCAGAAAAGGTTATAAACTGCTTGGATGTATTGCCGCCCCCACGACCAGGCCCGCGTTGGAGGGTGTGCGGTAGGCGACCACCCTCTCCCCCTTTTTAGATTTTTGGCCGCCGGGGGGCGGCAGTTTCTCGAATTTTCACCGCCGGGAGGGCGGATATAAAGTATAGCGCCCCCTTCCGCCCCACTAGTTTCTGGCCGCCACCCCGACGATTTTTGGGAAAACGCCGCCCCCGTACTAAAATCCCCCAGCGCGGGCAGCTGCGGCCACGACGACGCGTTTCCTAAGATTTTTATGGTTCCTGGTTCTCGATTTTCCTATGTCATTCTTAGGTTTTCCTAGATGTTTTGAGTTTTCTTAGGTTTTTTTAGGTTTCTTAGAAATTTTACGGGTCTGTGCGTTGTTTGCCTTAGCTTTCTATGGTTTCGTGGTGTGTAATTCTACAAAAAGCACTCCAAAAGTAATTTTCCCTAATTTCCATCTCCTGTCACAGAGGCATGCAGCTACATCTACCCATCCATAGCTTCTGTCCATCTTGGTACAGACTTACTTCGTTAAGGAACGGAGGAACCCACACAGAAGATGACTTCAGTTAATGAAAATCAAACAGAAAAAAATTCCCGAGGTGTCCATTTGTGCTTTGTTTGATATTAGATAGAACTATTATATAAACCCATGCTTTGCTGTGAATCGTAAGGAATCCTCTTTGGAACACGAATTTTTTAACGCCACCAATCGAGCGATAAAATTCTGAACAGTAAGAAACCGTTTGTACCTATTAGTCTTTTCTCAGAAACTAAGAAATCGTGAAAAAGCCTCAGTAACGCAAGTCGACCACAAAGTAGAAGGAAAAATAAAAACTGTATAAGAGCATCACCATAATAGTTAGCCCTCTCATTGTCCTACAGTACCACTTCAAGCACCGGTGCCAGTGCCACTACCAGTACCATCAAATAAAATTACCATTTCTTACTTTTTTTAAATTTCTAGATTTCAGTTCTTCATATTACATTTCGTAAAAAGAAAGCACTAACGTTTCTGGCAATTGCCACGTTTTATCGTTTGCCAGACACCTAATGGCAGATGCCACTGCCAGTGGCGATTGCCAGTGGCAGGTGCCATTGCCACCTTTTATCCCCTGCCGGTGCCGCTCAATTCGGCAATCGGGTCGGTCGACTGTTTTGTTATCTGGTATGGAGACTAGGTAGCACCCTTGGAACCAGGAAAGACATCCGTCCCATCCCTCTCAGGTCGCAATATGTGGGCTGGGTCCAGGATCTGCCACAACATCTATTTCTTCCTTTGGGGAAAGTCACGTCCGGCCGTAAAGTCACACTCGATCCGAACTGTGCAGCCAAGTCACATCGTCATGCCGGCATCGTGCTTCCATCCCAGCCCCTCATCCGTGCAGCCATATAAGGGCACGATT